CCCCAGACCAATTGCATCAGGAACTCTTGGGACACAGCCCATTCACCTGTAGTTCATAGAGCTCTCTGGGAGATTTCAAATTTGTGCAGAAAAATTTGAGAACCCCTTGCCTACACTTTTGCCCTTCCTTATGTATCTTTTAGATGGGTGCACTGCTTTAGTGTAACATTTGCTTAGTTACTTTCCTCTCTACCTCTTCTCTGAGTCAGCATTTTAACTATCCTTGGTTATCTTCCATACAGCCTCACAGTAGGGAGCAGCAGCCTCAGATCTCTTGGGAGCTGGTTGGGGATGTGCCTTGCCTCTTTAAGTGGACTTCTTGCCTCTTAATCTTCCCTCTCCAAGTTTCTAATAGAATTTTCTCTGCAAAACACAAATCTGATCATGCTATAACCTCCTCAATAAGCAAGTAGAACCTCCTTGTGTCCTCTATAATAAAATCAAAGGTCCTGAAAATGGAACTCAGGGTTCTGTAGGGATTTGACCTCTTTGCTTTGTCCTAGACTTTCTTCTCAGCCTCCTTTCCCACCCTCTTAAGTTCAACTACATAGGCCATTAACCATTCACCAAAGGGAATAGGCCATTTCACACCTCCATTCTTGGGCTAATGTTAGCTTCAGCTTTGACAGCCTCTTCCTCCTTTTCCCACCAATGCTTGGTATTTCCTCAAGGCTCAACTTAGATACTTTGTTAGTCAGCTTTCCATTGCTGTGACAAAATACCTGAGATAATCAAATTAAAGGAGGAAAGATTTATTTTGTGTCACTGTTTGTTTCAGAGATTTGAGTCCATGCTTGGCCCTGTCACTTTGGGCCTGTGACAGCTCAATACATCATTGGAGAGAGTGCATGGTAGAGGTGGACAGGAAGCCAAGCAAGGAAGAGAGGGGGAGGACTAGGGTTCCAATGTCCCCTCCGAAGAGATTCCCTACAACTTCCTTCCACTAGGTCCAACTTCTCAAAGGTTCCATTAACTCTCAATATTGCCATAGGCTGGTGACCAAGGCTTCAGCACATGAGCCTTTTAGGGACATTTAAGATGCATACAAAAACAGATATCACCTCTTCTGGGTAGCCTTTCCTGGTCTCCCACTCAACAGGGATTTCTCCTGGCTCTTTCATGTGGTCCTGGTTTCATTTGATTTTATGTTATTAACTTATCTATTTTTCCCTCCTAAATTGTGAATTCTTTGAGAGGAGAAACTCTGCTCTTTAGTCCTGATCCACTAGTGAGTACTTGTAGAACAAATGTCATGGGTCACATTCCAAATTCCTGTTCACAAGGTCAACCCATCCCACATTCCATGGGCACTCCAGAGGGCAGGCCCAGCCTACACTTCATCTTAACATGAGTGAATATTTATTGCACAAGGTCACTAACCTTGGCCTGTTGAGCAACTCCTTGCTATTTTGTGGAATTTCCATGCTTATTCATCATCTCCAGTCTCCATTGCTCCCTGGTGAAGAGATTGTCCTGCCCTCACATGTACTTCATTTCACTCACATGGACACACTTCCTTCCTGGGGTCCTGGTTTGTCCAAGTTGGACTCCAAGATTGAGTCAACTTTCTCAGAATGATGATCTGACTTCTTTTAAATCTTGGGACAATATTGGAAGCTAAACTAAATTTCTAAACAATTGTTCTGGAGCATTTACTTAGGGAGAATGTATGGAATTTCTGTGTCAGTGGAGAAAAAGATCCATACTTTTAGGTGTTTATTAAAGATAATAAAGCTGTCCACCTGCCTGCAGGTGCACTCAAAGACAATTAATGAATTTAACAGCACAGCAATGCTGTGGTTGCCAGGAAGCACCTTAATCATGTAGTCATGGGTTCCTGCGAGAGCCTCTGTAACTGGAGGCTCTGCCAGGCCAGCACACAGCCCAAGTAGTCCAATTGTGACTGCCAGGTCCCTCAAGCCCAGAATAAACACACACAAGGTGACAGACAGAGGTGACAAAGTCCTAGATGACAGCAATCTATGAGTACAGTCTATTTTCCCAAGTGTTTTGGTCTTTCTGTATAATGTGTTTCAAATATTCTACTCACATCATCTCTCCCTCTTGAAGACATGTTATTTGCTATCTTGGTATAGTGATATCGCTTTACTTGTACAGAGCTTCCATGCCAAATTTGCAAGTACTAGAATCCAGATTCTGTACTTGTCCTCTCGTCAGGCCCCATTTGGTTCCACAAAAGTAAGAGAATAAACCAGGAGAGACCATAGAAGTGAGATTCCAGGAACAGATAATCCAACAGGAGAAAGGCAAAGGGAATTTGAAGATGAAAATAAAGAGAAGTGTCAAAGTATAGTTGCTTATCAGGCCTACCACTAATTCATAGGAAAGGAGAAAGGAGGTCTCTATGGGGCATGCCTCTAAGAAAACAGTAGAAACTATAAATTACTTGATGTTGCTGACCTTGTGAAAAAGCACACTAAGAGGTTATTGGAAGCTCTAGGGAGAGTTAGCAAAAAATAAAAAGAAGTTTAAGCAAATCAAAAGCAAGGCAAACATTAACTTTAGGAAAAACAAAAGGTAAGAAAATAAACATTGCAATAGGCTACAATACTCAGTTGTGAATATTTGTATAATCATAATGTGAGCACAGAATAAGATTTAACCTGAAGTAATAATATATTAAGAGAATGAGTAACAGCAGGGAGGATGGCATTGAAGTTATCATAGTATAGTTTTAATGTGGGTTTTTTTGTATTGATAGTGAAGTAGAGCATCTTCCATATTTTAGTTGATCATTTTTTATTTCTTAGTCTGTGAATTATCTTCATTTATTTTGGTCAATTTTATTAGTTATTTTGTAATTTTCTTTCTTGATTCCTGGGAGCTCTTTCCATACTGGGAAGATTGGGCATTTCTCTATGAGTTGCAATTTTGTGGGTATTTTTTCTCATTTGTCTTTTGACTTTTTACATAGTGTTTTGGCCATTTGTTAGTTTTATATTTTTGACTCAGCATAATTTGTCAAACTTTTATTTTACAACACTGAAGTTTTATATTATCTTCAGAAATTCTTCTCTACTTTAATAAAATAACTCACTATTTCTTTCCTTAATTCTTTTATCATCTCATTTTCCCCATTGTTATTTTTGAGTGTGTGCAATCTGAATCTAACTTTATCTTTCCCCAAAAGTTTCCTCAATACACTTTCAAAAAAATGATGTGAACATATTTGAGATGCCACTTTTATCATTTGTTAAATTCCCATGTCTATTTGGATTTCTTTCAGGGCTTGTACTTTCATTCTGTTATTCTATCTGTCTGTCAGTGAACATTTTAGTTATTGAAGCTTTACAATACTTCTAATCCCTGGTACAGCTAGACCCCCAGTACCACCCTCCAAAAATATACATAATATGTAATATTTGAATATCTATGAACCTAAGTACCAAATGCTATAGTTTTGATATAACAAAAATACAGAAGATGTAGACACTATCTCGAAAGAAAAATCCCTCAAAATATAAACATATTTATTAAGGTCACATAATTATTCAGGTGACAAACTTCTATCGAGGTTTACATAATACTGTAAATTGTAATATGTTGTTAGGTCTTCTCCCCCAACCCCCTTTTCCTCTCCTTGTACTGAACATTGAACACAGGGCTTGTGATAGTTAGGCACACCTGTCACCACTTGTGTTAAGCTCCCAGCCCTTTTTCAGAAAAGGTCTCAAGGTCTCAGTACCTTTTTCCAGGATAGCCTCAAACTCACAATCTCCTGGCTCTATCTACCCAGTAGCTGGGACTATAATTGTATACCACTGTACACTTTAAAATCAAACGAGTTATGTTTTTTCTCCTTTTATTTTGAACTGGGTTGGATCCATAGATGAGTTGAAATCTCTCTCTAACGTACCATTATGCTTCCTTTTTATTTACCTTTTACACAGTTGTGGTGGAGTGACCATTGAAAACTGAGTTTTTATAATTTTTGAGTTTTCCTACTGATTTCAGTTGCAGCTTCTTATCTTTTGTATATATTGTCCTTATTCAGAGCAAATGACATTTTTATATGTGTTTTATGTTTTTTGCATTTTGATGTATCTTTTCATCAAACAAGATTTCTTTACAAGTAGTTATGGTGGCACATACCTACAATCACAGCATATAGGAGGAAAAGGCAGGTCAATCAATGGTTCCTGGCTTCCCTGAGTACATAGTGAGATCCAGTCTAAATCAATTTTAATCAAATTAAAAGAAAAAATATGAATTTCTCTTAAAAGAAAAAAATATGAATAAAATAGACCAATAAGTGGCAAATTTAATCAAGCAAAAAGAAAGAAAGCATGAACACAAAGTAAAAAAGTTTCAGAGAAAAATAACCTTAGCAACAGGAAAAATTTATTTTTCCAATGACCAGAAATATTTTAATAATGTTTAAAATAATCTTAACAGCATGAAACATAGTAGAAATCCAATTTTTTTAAAAAAGGAAAATGAGTGAGGTCTTACATAAAAACTCTATCACACCAGTATAGGATGAGACGACTGACTTGACAGCTGTTCACATCAATATCACCAGCAACATTTCCTAAACGTCCTAAAACGTGAGACTGGTCAATAGACAGTGGCCCAATATATGGACACCACAGGATGGTTCTCCAGGAAGCAGGGGGTGAAGTGAAGGTCACAGGACAGGATGTCCACCAGGGGCACCTTTGGAAGGCAGCCTGTGATCAGCAGGGTAGGCAGCAGGAGCAGGCAAAGAGGGGAACTGAGCTGCACTGTAGGCTCAGTGACTGCCTTGACAAAACTCACAGCAATACTTAGAACTAGAATAGCTCTTCAGAACTGCCCAGAGTTGGACAAGATGGCGGGGCCTTTAGACTTTTTTTTTTTTGGATAAATTAATCATATAAAATAATGAGTTTCATTACGACATTTTCATATATGTATATAATGTACTTTGATCATATCCACACCCCCATCGACCTCTCATGTCCCCCCACAATCCCCCCCTTCTACTTTCAAGACTTTCTTAGATTTAGATTCTGCATATGAGAAAGTATGCAATATCTGTTTCTTTAAACCTGGCTTATCTCGCTTAACATGTTGGTCTCCAGTTCCATCCATTTTCCCAAAATGACATAATTTCATTCTTGTTTATGGATGAATAAAACTCTGTGTATCTAAACCAGTCATTTGTTAATGGGCACCTAGGTTGAGTTCATATCTTGGCCATTGTGCAGGTATTTCTGTGCATGCTGGCTTTGATAACTTCAGGTACATGCCCAGCAGTGGATTAGCAAGGTCACAAAGTGGTTCTAGTTTTAGTTTCTTTGAGGAACTTCCACACTGATTTCCATAGTGGCTGGACTAATTTATTTACATTCCAATCAAAAGTACATAAGGATCTGCCACTCCCCACATTCTCACCAGCATTTGTTTCCTTTATGATAGCCAATCTGAAGGGGGCAAGATGGAATCTTAATGTATTTTTATTTGCATCTCCTTAACAGTTAGGGACGTTGAACTCTTTCTCATGTATTCATTGGCCATCTGTACTTCTTTTGAGAACTGCTTGTTAAATTCATTTTCCCATTTATTAATTGGATTGTTTGTTCTTTTGGTGTTTAATTTGTTGCATTCTTTATGTATTCTCAATATTAATGCCTTGTCTGATGGATAGCTGGCAGGTATTTTCTTTCATTTTATAGGATATTTCTTAAATATGGTTTACTCTCCTTTCTTGTCCTTATATTGGGTTTTCAAATATATCAGAGTATCAGATAGGAATCACCACTTCTGTAAGACTAATGATTTGGAAATGCATTATAATACAGTTAGTGGTCTTTTTGGTTGACCATGTTCATTCTAGCTGGGTTTAGGTGGCACTGTTTTCTTACTGTTTGAGCACTGACATGATGTCCTGATGTAATATAGCTCTGTGGCTGCATCAGCCTCTGGCCACCATACAGTTTCCCTGTTTGTCCCCTATATCTACTTAACTTACTTCACATTGAAACCAAAACCTGACAAAAACCTTATAAAAAAAGAAAATCAACACATTACTCTCACAAATTTACATACTGAAGTTTTAAACCTAACAACAGCAATTAGAATCAAGCAGTTCATTAAAAGACTAGCAGAAAGGCCAAGAGGGATTCATTCCAGATAGTTTCATGTTAGGAAAAGTATTATTATAATTCAAAATAATAATAGATTTTAGGAGAAAAAAATTTAACATATTGATGCTGAGAAGACATTTGGCCTATTCAGAAAAAACTTCAAAGGAAGGTATTAATAATATTAAAAGAACATGGTAAGGATGCACAATATTGCATCTTCTAGTTAATATTGTACTGAAGGTGTCAGCCCCTCCTACTGGACCAAAGAATGATGTGTCAGGCCAAAACATTGAAAAAGGTTTCTTCTTATTACTCTTTATGGATGATATGACTTTTATGTGGTAAACCTAGGAGAAAAAACAAAAACTTTATTAAAAAAGAGACTGCAGTAAATAAATGGGCTATAAATTAACATGTAGAAATTCATAGCTTTCATATATTAACAGCAGCAATGAGTTAAAAATATAATCGCAGAGATGGTTTGCCTATGTGTATATATATATATATATATATATATATCTAAATGTAATTTTGTATAAATACAAATTTATATGAATATCTAAATATAAAATTAACAAGAAATATGTAAAACATATGAGGAGAAGTTTAAAACAAACCTGAAACACACTGAAATAAGCTTGGATTCTCTGTTCTAAGGATTTGTGTACTGGTTTGAGCACCCAGTGCCTATGATTATTCACAGTGGTCAGGGAACTTCCTTGCTGGTGATTTTTAGGGATGGACATGTGATCCAGAGCTGGCTATTGAGATGAGAGATACTATCTGCTGTTTTGAGTAAAAGTTTCCCACCCTTAAAAGGAGCCTGGAGAAGGATGCATTCCCTTCCTTCCTCCAGGTCTTGCTACGTCTGGATCTGGTGCCTGAACCTGCTATAGTTATTTGCATTCACACCAGGGCCAGCCATGTGCAAAAACAGCAGTCAGGAGGCCAAGCAGAGATCAGGAAAGAACCAGATCCTTCAAGATGTTCTGTAGTCACTGACTATGCAGTGTGTGGAACCTGTAGATCCCCCAATACATGAAGTAATATAAGAGGTGCTTAAACTGCTTTTGCTGAAATGCAGGGACTCCTTACTCTGGCCCATTAATTAATCAAAAATGGAAGAAAAGCTTGGTAGCCCTGTCTCCATTTTCTATCTATTGCCCTTTGCTCTGAGCCATTCTCTCCTGCAGCCACCTTGGAATTGAGGAAGGACAGGAATGATCAATAACATCTTATGGCAAGGGGCTGAAACTACCTGTAAGGCACAGTGGAGCCTTGCAGAACAGACCTCTCCAACCTCCCCAAATGAAGACAGTTACTATAATGATGAGGATGTGAGCAGGCTAAAATTAGGCAAAGTTCGTGACCATAGAAACTTAGTATTACATTTCAGACTGACCAAGCTTTGGCTCAGGGACGGCCTTCACCTGGCCTGGGAATGGCCCATGTCCCGCCCCACTCACTAATTACTGGATGGGAATCAATTGGCTTTTCCCGTCCATAGGTTAGAGTAGGTTTTTAAAGAACCTATAGAGGGAACCACTCTCTCTCTGTCTCCAGACACCACCTGGGCCTCACCATGTCCCCTTTTGCATTTCCCTTCCCTACCTTTTAATAAGCTCCATTTACACCCATGTGTCCTGACATGGATTCTTCCATGTGGGACAGAAAGAATTTGGAAGTCTTCTGATCACAGACTCCACCCCAATGACCACAGGAGTGGTCATGTCTTGGGAATCAGATTGTTCCCATCAAGCAATGAAGTGGTAACAATTTCTCTGGAATCCTTAAAGAACAAGGACTGAGATAATGGGCCAATAGGACTCACCTGTGACTAGGACTGTTTAAGCATACCTTTTGTCTCCTGTCCTAATTCCTTGTCTATTTAAGGTCAAAGCTCATGTCTGTACACTGAAGATGGCTGCAGATGGGCTGAGTGCTTACTCTGCCTCTTCCCATGGTGTGTCCTGGACCATGTAATAAACCTCCTTTCTCTGCCTTCACCATGTCTCTTTATTTGTATAGAGCAAGTGGCAAGACCCGGGAGTTTGGAATTTTGGGGTCCAAAACTCCAGTTTTAGTAACTCATTTCCTTAATGTTTCAGTATGTTTAGTCACTTACTACTAAAGCTGTCTAGCTGGCACAAGGTCTACTACTCCCCACCCCCCCACCAGTGATTTTTATTATTTATTTTGCTTTGTAATGATTTAACACAGAGTGGGCTTGTCTACTGTTAGGGGCTAATTCTTTATTTCTTCCTTAAGTGATTTAACCAGAAGATTCCTACCAAATTTCTTAGTAAATTTCTACTTCAATGACTTTCAAATTCTTAGAAAACAAACCTGAATTTTATCATAATTTTTAAACTCATATATAAGTTCTATCCTTTTTTTCTTTTTTTCATTTTAATGATGGGATTTTTAAATAAGATTTTCTAGGAGCTGGACCATTTTACTGATTCTTTTCAAATAAGTTTTCCTGAGGTTTATTACCCATTAACTTTTTTTCTGCTACTGATTTATTTTTTTCTTTTATATTTATTTTATTTTTCTGCTTTCTTGGATGCTTTTTTTCTTTCCTCCATTTTTTAACTACAATAACATCTTTTCTTGCTTTCACTTTTAAAAATATTTCATACTACAAGTTATTGAGAACAACTTGATATGTATATTCTATAATTTTAAATATTAACCCTGATTCTCATTATTTTTAATTAGCTGTTTTCATACACTTGATTTCCTCCTTAATCCAATACTTACTCAAAAATATGCATAAAATTTGGTTAATCTTTTCTTATTAGTTTCTACTGCTATACTTTCCTTTGAGAACCAGATTGCATCTATTCATCTTTATGGCTTATGATTTTGTTATTTTTCTCATGGCTGACTATTTTGGATTTTTTAACGTTTTCTTAAACCCATGGCCACTTAGCAAGAAAAAATGATTTTTGTAATATAAATGCTATTTTATAAAGCAAATGATAATTTTATACTGCAACTTTTGAAACAGTCGTAAATTGTACTTTACTAATTATATCATTCAATCATTCCTGTTATTATTTGAATATATTCTGTGGTGGAAAAGATTAAAGTTTGAGAAACTGATATTGGGAAATTGCAAGGGGTAGAAGCTACAGGAAGGCAAAAGAGCAGTGGAGTGATTTGTTGTATTAGGAGGAGCCTGCTCAAGGTGGCAAAAGAGCACCAAGGACTATGACTGTCCCATGTTTGCCTTGCTGGAGCACAGAGAAGGTGCTCAGTACCTGTCTGCTCCATGAAGGAATGGGTCTGTTCCCCAAACTGTTGAGTTGAAAATGAGCTGTGTCAAAGGCAGTATAGTGAGTAGGCCCAGGGGTAGAGGCAGACTGGACAGGAAAAGATGGCACCTAGGAACCATCTTGAATGCCTCATGAGTTTCTATGTGGTCCAGGAGGAAGGCACAGTTGATGTAGCTTGGGCTCTTCAAACATGGATTTTTCCTCAAGGAGCCAAGTGGAAGGAGATTTTGTTTTATTTTCAGAATTTGTTCAGTGAGGCTTAGAATACACTGGGCAACAAACAAGAAGAACCAGAAGCAGACACTAGTCCTGCCCATATCCCTTGGGCCTCACTACTTCAGAGACCTTTAGCCCACTTTGGTTGCCAGTGTCTTTACCACTCTGTGTGAGGATTTTCTCCACATCCCCTGAGGGTCACATCACCCACAGCCATTACAGGTCAGTTTCAAGTGCTCATATCCACTGTTCTGGGAATAGCCTTCAACCACTGCCTACCCAGAGCTACTGTATAAATACTCTGAATCTCTTCATGCTTGGATGATGCTATTGTTGAATTTGGTTTGACCCCTCTGAATCCCATGTTGGAGTTTAATTCCTATTGTGTGGCATTAAGAATATGGAATCTTTATCTGATTATGACAGTACAGGTGGCCTTTAGAGAACTGGTTAGGATCACATAAAATCATCAAGGTGAAGCCCCCTTGATTTAATCGTGGTGGCTTTAAAAGGGGGGAAGGGGAGAGAGAGAGAAGTCAGGCATGGTGGTACAAGTCTGTAATCTCAGCTACTTGGAAGGTGGAAGCGCAGGAGGGGATTGGCGTTTCAGGCCAGCCTGGGAAAAATTAGTGACATCATATCTCAAAAACAAACAAAAAATACAAAAAAAGGGGGATGAGAGTATGGCTCAAGAGGTTGAGCGCTTGCTTAGCAAGCTTAAGGCCTTAGGTTCAACCCCCAGTACTAGAAAGAAGAAGGAGGAGGAGGAAAAGGAGGAGGAGGAGGAGGAGGAGAAGAAGAAGGGAAGGAAGGAAGGAAGGAAGGAAGGAAGGAAAGAAGGAAAGAGACCTGAGGACATATGAGAGTTCCTTGAACCTCACCATGTAATGCACTGTACTAACACAGCATGTGCTCTACACTGGTGACCAGTGTTTCTCATTGGGATGCTACTTCAGCTGCACATTATGGCTTAATCACAACCCCTTTTGACTCCATTCTGATCCCTTCTCAGTGCCTCTCCCACCTCTGCACCTTCCAAGTTCATTACTTGCCCTTGGAACCTTGTTTTAAGGTCTTCTGGGAAAAGTCAAATTAAAAATAATAATGTTTATTATTTGTTTTGGCCTCATCAATCTTCGTAAATAAGAATTTCTGGAGGAAGAAGTTGAGCAATTTGCAAGTTAAGAAGCCATGTGGCTCCAGGGAACTCGAACATGTCACACAAGTTGTTTATGACATTCTGCTTGATAAGGCCACAGCAGTGTATTTCAGGAAATCCTTGGAGCATGGAGGAGCTATCACTCAGTTCAAAAGTCCTGCCTATAGTCAGCTAGCTGTACTGAGATCAACGAGCAATCTTCCGGTCACTAACTGCCACATGTAGTATTAAACTACAACTTCTCCTGCAGCTGTAATTTGGGGATCCTCCTCCAAAGCTAACTGGTTGAGAAGACAGGCTTTCTCAGGTCAACTAGGGGGAGATTCAGCAAGGAGCTCAAAGATGTGTTTATTATAATTGCAATCATGGCTCTATTCAGACAGGCAGAGGCTAGATTTACAGCTGATATCCTCATTGTCATCACCAACATAATCATCACAACCAGAGTTACTGTGATGTACAGGACCTTAGATCTTCCTCCAGGAAGCCTTACCTGAGACCCTCATCTGGGCTTTGGGATCCCAGACTGCTCTATCTTAACCCTTACATTTAATCAATATTTTATTTATCTGTCTTCCAAATACACTTTTTTTTCCTTTTATTCATATGTGCATACAATGTTTGGGTCATTTTTCCCCTTCCCCTCCCTTTTTCCCCCACCCCCTCACTTCTGAGCAGGAACTGTTACGCTCTTATCCAAATACATGTCTTTAAAGCATTAATTATATCGTTCAGTGTAAAGGATTAAAAGACTCTTAAAAAACATAAACAGAGGACTGTTATTTCAATGAGAAGTGCCCTCATAGACAAAAAAGAAAAAAAAACTGGCAAATATTTAAACAATGAAGAGAAACCTCCTTTAAATTTCATGATTAAAAACAAAATGAGATTATCAATAAGAATTGAAGTTTGTGAATGTCACAATTTTATATTCAAAGAAATCACCATTCCTGTGGAAAGGCAAGAAAAGAACAATTTTAGGTATTCAAAAACTAAAACATACCTCTCACAAACCATTGAAAAAATTACTTTATGTTTTATGCCAAATAACAGAAAGATGAAACAAAATAAAAATGCATGAAATGACATGATGTCATAAAAAGATTAGTAATAAGGATAAAAAGAGAAGTTTAAATAGTATTGAAAACCTAGTTTATAAAACAGAATCCAGAAAGGTTTGTCCAGAGAATAGTAAAATGTCACTGTTTATTATATTTTTTGACAGCATCTCCCTGTGTAGCCCAGGCTGGCCTTGAACTCACAATCTTCTTGCCTCAGTCTCCCAAGTGCTGGTATTACAGGTGTGCACCACCATGCCAGAGTCATGTTATAGATTCCAGTTTAAGAATAATGACTGTGACTTTGAGGGTAACATTTAAAAAACAGTAAAAGATTATCTAACTAACAAGCTGGTGGAGGGAGAAATTTTTGATTGATCAAAATAAGTCAAGAAAAAAGAGGAAATAGAACTGGATTAAATAGAAAAAAAGTTGTAGGATAGAATACTTAAGATCACATATATCACTAAACACAATTGTAAACTTAATATTCCAGTTACAAAGATTGTGAAATTAGATAACAAACTACTTATTGCTTAAGAACAAAGACACAGAAAGATAGAAAGTGACAATATATAATCATGCACCCCATAAATAACAGTCAGAGAATGTAGATATATGGTTATTGTATAAGGTAGACTTTAAGATAAGAGCATTACTAGAGATAAAGAGGAATATTTCATACAATAAAAGAATCCAACAGGACTGTAAAAACAATTTAAATTTCTATGTACCCAATAACACAGCCTTGAAGTATCTAAAGCAAATATTGACAGGCGAAATAAAAGTAGAAAAATCCATAATTCTGGTGGAAGCTTTCTGCACAATGCACATTCTTTTTAAGTGCATATGGAACATTTGTCAGAATTGACTATATGCTGGAATATAAATCAATTTTCAGCAAAATTCAAAATACCAATATCTTAAAGAGTATGTTCTCTACATACAAGGGAGTTAAGCGAGGAAACAATAATATTCACCCACTTGGTTGAATGTGGAGTGGACAATGAAGAAAACAGGAGGAGTGGACCATAGAAAAGCCACATCAGAGCTAAGAATAGTTTTTGACAGATAGTATCCAAAGGTATATGGAAGAAACTGGGACACAAGGCATATGGAAGAAAGGGATGGAGTACAGGGTAGGGCTGAAGATCCCAAAGGCAAACATAACCAACTTTACGTGTTTTGGGGGACTGTCACTATTGAGAAATACCGGCTGTGCTTTCAATTGCTAAAATTACCTATCACATAAATTCTCTTTCTACCATAAGGCAAAGCTTTGGTCTACTGAATGTCTATTTTCCAAGTGGAGCACATCACAATACTGAATTCCTTCCTCTACTAACTCACCTCATTCTTGTTCCATATTTCTGATGGCCCCCAGTATGCATCCTTGCAGGCCACTTGATTTTAGGCTACTGAAAAAAAATGCACCTTCTAAATGTGGTTAACAGTCAAGGCATATCTTAGGAGTTAATTGTTACTTGAGTTTTTGAGAAATTTCAAAATAGGCCTTTCATTTAATAATGAAATAAGCCCACTCATACTTGCACAGTTTTTCTTGCTTTCCAAAGGTGCTTGAAAGATCACCCACAGCCTTTGGAATTTTATCCCCTTAAATCAGAAAGACTCTGGATAGTCCAATTGTAACTAATGACTCCATTGTTTGCCTGGAGGCAATGGGGATTATTGTCAATAGGAACGTAAGTGATGCTAGAAGGTTGTCGTATTTTCACATAACCTGCTGGAAATATTTTGATTAGCAATAATTAAGTTACTTTAGACTTATTTAATTCAACTGTGATTTTTTTTTGATAAATTGCAGGGATAAGAATGTGCTTCCCTATCCCTAAGCTACCCTGCTCATTCCCAGGCCTCAGGCCAGGAACCCAAATCCAGGGTTCCAGCTTCTCTGTTACTCCCTTCCCATAAGGCTGATTCCCTGTGATGTGACCCATCTTCTTTACAGTATTGTTCCCCATACCACATCTGCTCCAGAATTGAGACCTTTCAAAAGAAAGGGTATCTGAGAAGACCAGGTATTCATATTCTTCATTCTATAACCCATTCCACCAACTCCTCTGCATCATAAATGCTATCATCTAGCACATATGAAGACAATTGATTGCCATCTGGGCTCACTCTGGTTGGTCCACAAGGCATTTTGATATTATTTATTCATAGGACTATCCACACTATGTATAATTACCTACCAAGTTTTTAGCTCCTAGTTGTCTTTATATACTGGAGAGACTTGGTACCAGCAGAAAGTGATCAAATGGGTGATTAACGGGTATTTGCCAATAATTATATTGAGGGTGAGGCTTTGTCACCTCCATCAGTTCAGGAGCTCCATAGACTGTTCCGTACTGACAGTGTGGACTTCTCAATGTTAGGGTTTATTTCTCTTCTTCCCTCTGGGCCATTGCTGGGCTCTGCTCTTAATCCACATCCCACACTATTCAAAGCTTTGCCTAGTATCCTAGGTTTGGCTCTGGCAATCATGGAGAAGGGAAGAGAATAAGGACACAGAGGTACAAAGACCCTGCTGTTGGGTGCTGAATAAAGTAAATTCAGCATTCTTTGCATGAAAAGATCAACACAATAATCCAAGTTTCCACTCCATGAAGCACTGGCCCTCCAGCAGAGAAGATCAGTGAAAAGAAAAGAAACAGAAAGGAAAAGAAAGAAGATAAGAAAAAATGTTGGGAATAAGAGACCATTACTAACTGCTATGTGCAGGGGTAAAAGCACTAGCTCTATCTGCCTAATAAAAATAAAATGATTTTAAAAATTCACATGTGGTTATGCCTGATTTGTCTTTAGCTAATCTAATTAAAAGCCCAATTCCAGAGCTTTCCTCCAGAGTGACTTAAGTGGTCAAGTCTCCTTGTGGCAATCACAATACATTAAGTTTATAAGTGACATAATTAAAACAAGATGCCAGTTAAGAGCCTCAGAGTGCCTTAAAATAAAATCTGACTCCTCGTCAAAAAATGTACACAAAGGTATAGTGCGGCAGGAAGCAGGAAGGGAAATTTAGATCTCTGTTCTATTCCTGGCTGTGCCTCTAACTTACTTGGGACTGCATGCCACACACTTAACTCTTTAGGCTCTATTCTATGGTCTCATCCCTGAAAATATGAGGAGTACCTCTCCTGCCTGCCACCAGCAGTACTGCAAGGCTCAAATGAGACAGCACATCTGGAAATACCTGAAGCAAAACAGCTCATTTAATAAATACATGGTATTATAGTTATAAACATTAATGTTTGTTATTAATGGTAATGGGATGGTGATATTTGTAAAAAATATATATATTGCTGTGATATTATTGTCAGGTGTGCAGAAGTGAGCCAGGCTTGGTATCTACTGAGTTTCAAGATAGCATGAATGTCAATATTTTTTTTCCTTTTTTTATTGTTGTGCTGGGAGTACATTGTGGCATTTACAAAAGTTCTTACAATATATCAAATATACCGCCAATGAATGTCAATATTTTATTGACAGAGCAAATAATTGTAGTGACCTAGAGATGTGGTTAGGCTAAAGAAGTGGAAAAGATTGGTTAGGTTCTTGTGAATGTAGCTTTGTACTTCAGGCTAGACTGCTGAACCCGAGGGGAGATCAACTATGGAGACTTTTGTGACTGGAACAAGAGGAAGAAAAGGAAGGCAGAGAATGATAAGCAATTCTACCACTTAGAGAATGAACTCTGGGTCCCTTTTGGGAGGGCATGTGAGAAGGAGCAGGATGGTCCATTTTTTAAGTGGACACAAGCAATGACATAATCAAAGATTGACCTGTGTATGTCCATCTTCTGCATCAAACAAGCGTTCACTAACCTTCTAGGATCATGGACCCCTTGGAAACTCTTATGAAAGCCAGAGAACCCTCATCCTTGGGGGAGGAGAGCCATGTGCACAAGTCTATGAAATTGTGTACCTAGAAGCCCAGATGTGGAATGTTTGTTTAGAAACCCTGAGCCAGGCTAGAAGCTCCCACAGTGCAACATTTATTCCTGTTTGACATTCTAGTATTTCTGAGATGCTCATGGAATTGACTGCTTTAATAAAGGAAGCTATCTAAAGTGTTCCATGGCTTGTCCAACAGCATCAGTTGTGTTTATCAAGGTAAGACTACTCTTATCAGAAATTCACCAAGAGAACAAGGGTGTTTCTGTGCTAGAAGGTTCATATACTAGAAGGTTACAAGCTTCTGAGCATGCCCCCAGCTAGCCCTAGTTTTGGCCCAAATGAAAACCCCGCCCCTTCTCATGTAGGTCCCTTCATGGACTGAACCATCTTCAAACTCAGGCTCCAAAATGGCCCAGCTGGGGCACTGCTGGGCCACTCCCCACTTGTGCTCTCAACCATGGATCCTAGATGAGATCTGACAGGAGGAACCTGTCCCAGGAGGTCCCCTTACCATCATCATTTCCAACTTCGACCTTTGCATGGGCTGTCCCTTCCTAAAACACTCTCTCCCCTTCTGAATGTAAGTAAACGTGGGAATTAATGACCTAAACGTAAACAAAGCACTTTGAGTTGCACGATACAGTTGGCTAAGGGATAATTCAATGTAAGTAACACAAAATCTTAATATCTTAGGGTTGATCTACTCCTTAGAGGTCACTCACTCCACCAGTCTAACATTAATACTCATATTGACAGCAATAGTGACAATAACATTTACACTAATCACCAGTAACATTATTAATACGAGCAGTCCTAGCTCCTTGAATACTTATCTGGCTTATGCACTTTTTTTGGGGATATATTACTTCTTACGCTCACACATGCATACACAAACAGTGCACATATTTAGACAAAGAAATGTAATACAAAACTAAAGTTACAGCTTTGTTTCAATCTTTAAAATATAGAGAAAAACCAGATTTCGTGGTACATGTCTATAATCCCAGCACAAGGAGGCTCACACAAGTTTGAGGCCACATAGTGAGATCCCCATCTCAAAAAAAATAGAGAAAGATTAAAATCTCTATTTCCTTGTACTATTGGATAACCTTATGGAAAAGACAGACAAGAAACACATATGACTTAGAATAGCATGCATATAAACACAGAACACCTACCTCATTTTGTTCTGGGAAAGTAGCCAAAAGCTTTTTTGTTAGTATGACCCAAGAAGAAGGAGGGGAAAATGAAGTGAAAGCTTTGTTTTATAGACGGTAAATAGGTAGGTTGATAGATACATACATATGTACATATACTCATACATGTGTACATACATAGAACATGATTGTATTAGTGGGCCTGCCTGAGGAGACTATGGGAGGCAGGAGAGGGAAAGAGAATGTTGAGAGTGAAAAATATTAAGACATTGCATCTATGTATCAAGGTAATACAGTGTGAACTTGTATTACTACAAGGTAATATAGTGTGAACTGTTGAACAATAGGGCAATAGAGAAAGAGTAAATAACAGAGAAGGATTCATCTAATTAAAGCATGATATATTCATGTCTGAAGTGCCAAGGCAAAATCCCCTTGGACTATCAATATACATTTTTGTATATTGAAGGACAGGAAGGTAAAATAGCTTCTTTCCAGGGATGGGTACCAGTGGGAGGGGGGAGGACGTAAGAAGGGTGAAGGAGGGTGAATATGGCAGATGTATTTTGTATTCATGTATGAAAATAGAATAATGAAACTATTTGAATTTGTTCTAAGAAAGAGGGAGGGAGATAATGGAGAAGGATGCAGGGGTGAATATAATTAAGACATACTGTAAGTACATATGTAAATGTCAATGTATCCCCCCGTAAAATTATTATATGCTCATAAAATAACAAATAAATGTTTAGTTCATTAGTAAAGCCAAAAAAAACGAATGAAATGAGATCCACCTTTTACATAGACTTTGAGGTTTCTTCTTATCCTTTAAACAAGAAGACTCCATAAATATTCAATCAAATCCTTATCCACCAGGAAGGTGGACAAATACTCAGATTTTCTCCTAACAAACCTCCTTTTCACCACCACTAGATTGTGCAAGCTCCTCAGGTGTTCCTAAAGACTCAGCTTGACTCTTTCATCCCAAAAGCTAGCAGAATCCTTCTTTCTATCTCTACATATCCTGGATCCTGCCTGAGCTCAGAGAGCACTCGGATGAGCAGACTCCCAGCACTCACCTTGAAAACATCTCCTGAAGGACTGGGCTCTTCCACCGAGCTCTCTATTAGGAGGTAGCCAATGTTGCAGAGGTGTGGGACAAGCAGCTTGCTTTTCTAGCTCACATTTTTTTTGCTGTAGACAAAGTATCCGGAAATGACTCAAGCATCACATTATCATGCAAAAGGCTGACACAGTCTTCCTCAATTTCGGTTTATGAACGCTCCACCCTCTCATGATGGCAGAAAATGATCTGCTAGGTATAAGGCATGCGTGGATGTGTATAAACATGTCTGGAGCTTATTTCTAGCAATAGAGAGGCACCTCTCCCATAAAGGAACAGTCTAAAATAAGGAGGAAAGTTACTAATGTAGTTCAGGTGGAAGCAGTTTCTCTGTCCAATCACCTCATACCTTATGTCTGCTATGCTATCCTCAAGGCCTTTCGCCCATGTGTTTGCATTTCCAGGTGCTGTCTCCCAACTTGGTCTCTCCTTCTCCCTCCTGTACACTGGTGATGCCAGCACCTCCTCACATGTTAAGGATGTGATATCTCAGAAAGGCTCAGTGGCAGACACTGCTCATTGTTTACAAAAATCCACTTCTTCTTGGGTTCATTTCCCAGTCTCTCTTGCAGTCAGTGTGGCCATACGCCTCAGTCCAGCCAACAGGAGGTAAGTTGAAATGATGCATGCCACCTACAAATTCACCCTATAAAAACCTTCCACATGTGATCCTCTTTTTCCCATCTAGCAAATGGGATGGCACCTGATCCTCCCAGGCAAACTTGGAGGCCACACGGGAAACATTAGTTCCTAAAGTGACTGTGTGAAGAAGTGCTGTGTGTGCACACACACACACATCTCTTTCCCTTACCCTGTCAATCAGGAATATCCTGGACTATTCCGAGGATAAGAAATAAACGCCCAAGTGTTGAACCATTACATGTTGGAGTTTTTTTGGCACCATAGTCTACCCTAGCCAAATCAGTGTTTAAAAAATCTACCCTGAAGTCGGATGTGGCCATTTTCAAAATACTAAAATGGTATCACATTGGCTTTAGCAACATGCATACATTATAATGAAGAGAAGAAAAGAAGTGATTGGGAAGCAAAGAAAGAAAGCATCTCAGGAAAACCAAGGGTCTCACATCAGTGATAAAGGTCAGTTTAAGACTACTGGCTTCTCAAAACTGTTGAGCCAGTCAGCCTCAAAACAGTATATTACACCAAGGAAAAGAAAGGGAGGAATTGGGAAGCAAGGAAAGAAAGCAGGCTCAAGGAATATGTTTGGGAAAGAGTACAGAAGGTAAAGTTTCTGGACATGAAAACAACTGAAAGCAAACTGAAGAGAAACTTGCCGCTCCACCAGCCCTGTTTTGTGTTGTGTTTTTTCAAGATAGGGTGGTCTCGTGAACTATTTGCCCACAGCTGGCTTTGAACTATGATCCTCCTGATCTTTGCCTCCTAAGTAGCTAAGATTATAGGCATGCCACATTTTGAAGCAATTGTCAGAGGAACAAGAAACTTGAACTAAAATTCCTGTGGTTGTAAAGCTACACAGAGGCCTCCAACTTGCAAGAGTAAGCAAGTTCTATAAAAGTTCTATTAACCCAGAACTGCATCTTCCACAGGACCCAGATGGTCCAGGAAGCAGCTTCCACCAGCACCAAGGCAGTCTCCCAATGCCTGCCTGTGAGGATCCCATCACACTGTGGGTCAAGACTACTGAGTGTTTTCTCTTCTTTCCTGATCCAATGGGAACTTTCACTATAGTTTTCTAGCTCCATTGCATATACCTTGTATGGTAAAAAGCTTCATTCTTTTCTCATGTGATACCATGTGAGAGAACCATTAGTGCTGCTATAACAAAATACTGTAAACCAGGTAGCTTACATAAAACAGAAATTTATTTCTGTGTTGTAGGCTAAGAAGTCAGAAGATTATGGTGCTGGCAGATGTAGTGTCTGGTGAGGGTTCTTTTCCTGGTTCATAGAGGGCAACTTCTCATTGTGTCCTCACATGGTGAAAGGGGTGAGGTAGTGCTCCAGGGCTTCTTATAAAAGCACTAATCACATTCATGAGGGCTCCACCCTCATGACCTAATCACCTACCAAAAGCTCCACTTCCTAATTTTATCCCATTGAGGATTAGGTTTTAACATACGAATTTTGAGGGAGGGGGTCACAGACCTTCAGACTAGTAGATTTTTTTTAGTCCAGTTTATCAGTGAAGAAACTATACAGAGAAATTATGGCCGTGGTTGTAGTTTTGGCCACACCACACCCAAATATCTTGTTAGTTTTATATGGTGATTAAAAACTCATTTTTCAACCACATTTTCAACATTGTTTCCTATACCAAAAGATCCTGTGAATTCAGGCAATGATCCAGTTAAATTCAACAATGATACAAAAACATCCAGGTGGTTGCCTGGCTCAAGTTTGGACAAAACTCATTGAATTGATTTGCTGCCAGAAGTCTTGGAATCAAGATCCAAGATGTAGTTTGTATGTGAAACCCCCCAACCAGTGGCCAATTTGCACAATTCATTCTCCAAATCAATCAAATTGTAGGGTAGAGCTGCCTCAAATTAAATTTCCCTCTGACTTCTGCTTGTGTGCCTGGGGAAATTCCTGCTCTCTTCCTTTCTTATCTTCCCTCAATGGCTGCTTCAAATGCATGATGTGGGACAGATCCAGTGTGAGGAAGAGCCGTGAAGGTGCTAAGACATATTCCCAGTGCTTTCCCACTCTTCCTTTTGCTTGTGAAAAAAAGATATTGCTCCAGTCATGTTTCCTTAGGGCAGACTTATAAAAGATTCAAGTAAATAATATGTCTTTAGGGGCCTGGTTTCATTCTCATAATTACCTTTGGACAAGACTCAGATTCTTTTAGCTTAGAAACTTGTCCAAAAATAATTAAAGTTGATGTGAAGCCCTTGATTACAAACAGGGCCTAATAAAACAGGGCAGAAATTCTTCAGAGAGATTTAGCAGAGGATTAAATTCACTGGGTTTATGACATTAAGTGGCAGTGAAATGCTAAATTGAAGAGTGTGAGGGAGAGACACATAAACTGTGTGATTATCAGACACATATGGACGTGTGTGTTCTTCATAGAGTCTGGATCATATGTTATCATAAGCAGTAAGTCCAATAAAGGTGCATTTCCCTAAATAATTCATTAGAGAGCCTGTTAGAGGATGCTCCTCTGTTAACATTGAAAAGACAGATAGCCATTCTTTTGCCTTATTTCCAAGTTTTGGGTAATTTTTTATAACAGCTTTTAATTGCGTCCTTATCTCTTATTTCCAGAATAAGGGCTATAATTCTTGTTAGATGAAATTGTTAGTTATGATATGAATTATGCCAATGACAATGGAGTAGTCGTTGAGTTTAGATTCTGAAAGAGTTTCAGTCTGGTGGGTCCAGGCTTCCCAGAAACTGTGCATGCTGCAGGCATCGGGTCTGAGCCCCATGGGGCTGAAAAGTCTCTATTTGGCAGAGCCAAAAAAGACTTCTTTCATCTGTCTGAGCTTTGAGCTGCCCACAGCAGAGCCCCCATTGCTCCCTGTGAGAAGTATCCTGACTTCTAACTTAGAAAATGAGCAAAGACCCATGGTCTCCCCAACCCATAATACCAGCCTCAAGTCAGCACCAGGGGTGTGGTTGTCCCCAACAGGCTATCCTTGTATGATGCAACTGTCTCAACCCAAACTCCCCAGCCATACAAGGCCTGTGATGATGACACCCAATATGTTGCTTCTCTCAAAGTCTTTTCTCTGTCATCCTTAATGCCCAGCACCTCCCACTCCTAGCCCTTCCCTCTCCTCGTCCCACAAACTCAGCAGAGTCTTTTTGAGGCTCCCTCCATGATGAGCTAGCCCTATGTCGTGGTGGAGCCACCTGATCTCAATGGCAAGCTCTTTCACGGGGGCAAACAGTACAGGAGAAGCTGGGCATTCACTGGTTTGGGCCTCGGGTTTGAACCACTGCAGAAAGTGACTCAAGGCTTAACTCTTCCATTTTTGGCTTGTTGCTTTAACCCACAACTCCAACACCCAGCAGCTCAGTGTGCCCTCTCCCAGCTCAGCTGAGCTCCCAAGGGGCCCAAGAGCTGTCTTTGTCTTGGCTCTGGGGGAGATCTCAAGGGGGAACCTAGCCCAGCCTTCAATACTGTCTGTACTACTGCAGCTGCCACTCTAGGCATTTGTGACTCCTTGAACTAATCAGGGGTCTTCTACCACCAGGATCTTTGCTGGAGTGGCCTTCCTTCCTCATCCTACCCTGTCTCCTTAGCCTCCCTTTACCTGCCAGGTCTCAACTAACATGTTGCCCTGCTGAGAGGCCTTCTAGACTGGGGATAGACCATTCCAGTCTTTTATCATATGCCCTCAAAGCACCATATTCTTTTCCACAATAGGGCCCATCCTGACTTGTGATCTTTTCTATCTTTTATTAAAAATGTGTGGCCACTGGTAAGTATGTTCTGAACACTCTTAGATCTCCAGCACAAATCTTCCAGTGGCATTACTATTTATTACTGAATGAATGAATTATAAATATTATTCCACTTTATTTTAATATACAACTTCAAGCAATTACTCTATCTCTGGAATACTGGAAACGAGACCATTAGACACAAAAGGAAGATGATCCATCCATAGTACAGACTACTCTGGATAGCCCAATGCCCAGGCTCCAGAGTAGAATGTACACCCAGTCATTCATTCAAGCATCAGCAGTGACTAAGACAGAGCACAGGGAGCCACAGCAAGACCAGCAAGTGAATGTGATTTGTAGGAAGAGTATGGCAGAAGCAGTTCTAACTCTTCCTCCCTTCTAGTGATCTTGAGCAGCTCACCTCACCTGAAATATTGTCTTTCAACTGGATTTTTTAAGAACAGTTCTAAAAGTAAGCAAAATCTGTTTAAGGTATTGTTACTGAAGTCCTCATCGCTGGGCAGAAGAAAGTGAGAATGAGATCAAGTTCACCTTCTGTGGATCCACAAGAAGAAACATGAGATGACGACCAGTGAGCCATAAATCATACCAAACCAAACAAAGGAAGAGGCAAAAATCCACTGCGCCACAGGGTTCACGGGACAACCTCATACAAGGT